TGTAGTCCCAGCTACTTGGGAGGCTGAGGCAAGAGAATTGCTTGAGCCTAAGAGTTTGAAGTTGCTGTGAGCTGTGACCCAATGTACTCTACTAAGGGCAACAGTCAAACTCTACCTCAAACAAATAAATAAATAAATAATCTAAAACTCTGGCTAGGCATAATGGCAGATGCCTAGAATTCTTCCTTTCTTTTTGAGACAGAATCTCACTTGTCACCCTCGGTAGAGTGCTCTGATGTCACAGCTCACAGAAACCTCAAACTCTTGGGCTTAAGCAATTCTCTTGTCTCAGCCTCCTAAATAGCTGGGACTATAGGTACTTGCCACAATGCCCACCTATTTTTAGAGATGGGGTCTCACTCTTGTTCAGGTTGGTCTCAAACTTGTGAACTCAGGTGATCCACCCACCTCGGCCTCCCAAATACTAGGATTACAGGTGTGAGCCACCTCGCTTGGCCCTAATTCTACCATTCTGGGAAGCTGAGGTGGGAGGATCACTTGAGGTCAGCAGTTTGGGACCTGCCCAAGTAAGAGCAAGACCCATCTCTACTAAAAACAGAAAAATTATCTGGGCATGGTAGTGGGTGTTTGCAGTCCCAGCTACTCAGAAGGCTGAGGCAGGAAGACTGCTTGAGCCCCTAAGTTTGAGGTTGCAGCGAGCTAAGATGATGCCAGGGCACTCTGGTCGGGGCAACAGAGTAAGACTGTCTCAAAAAAAAAAAAAAAGAAAGAAAGAAAGAACAGTCTAAAAACCTCAGAAAGACGCCTCTAGGTCATGGTAGCTGTTTCCCAAAGCCCTGGTGAAAGCTGATCTGCCACAGAGTGCCTGTTCACAAAAGGTCACCACGTGAAACTTTCCCCAAACCTACACTGAGGCTAAGGGCCTTCCTTCCTTGTAGGATTCTAGGCATTTTTTCTTTTCCTTTCTTCCATTCCAGATCTACTGGTCAAAGAACTGAAAATACCTGGAGAAAGCCTGAGGCTCTGGGAACTTCTCTGCAGATAATCAGGAATT